TGGCGCGAGTTGCTGTTGGACCCGCGAGTCCTGGAGTCTCGGGCTCTGTTGGCCGCTTCCCTCTCCTCGTACTCCATGTATGCCCGAGCTTTTTCGAGGAAGGCATCGAATGTCCTGGGTGGTTCGATGCCCACGACTTTTCTGAATTCCGTGTCGGGGAGGAGCCCCCTCTCCAGCAGATATCTCTTCATATGGTCCGCGCAGGGGACCTGTATAACTTCCCGGTTGAAGCGATTGATGAACTCCCTCAAGGTTTCATCCTGCCTTTGGATGATGGCCTCGAGAGCCGTCTCAGTCTTTGGATGCCGCCGAGAAGCTGTGAATGAACTGATGAACTGGTTCTTCAGGTTTCGCCACGAGGTGATTGAGCCCGGGGCGAGTCCTTTGTACCAGTCCATCGCCGCCTTCCTGAGAGTCGTGGGGAATAGTTGGCATTCGATGGGCCCCCTGACATTGTGGTAATGCAGCATAGCCTCGAACCCGTCTATATGGTCGACCGGGTCCGCGACTTCATCGTACTCCTTCAAGTGCGGGGGTTTCTCCATGCCCGGGGGGATCGGTGCTTCCATGATAGCTTGCAACAGGGGACCGCGGGGATCGTCCTCGTCGCTCCTCTCCAGAGACAGAGATGGGGACCTGTAATATTGTCGGGCAAGACGGTCCTGGTCGTGCTGAGTCTCTCTCGAGCGTGATGCTCGTTGGTTGAATCTTACACGCCCGTCTCCGGAGTGTCTTCTTTCCTGTCTCGCCGGGTCGCGACTAGGTCCTCCGGCTTGGATGATGGGATGCCTCTCCAAATGGGGTCGTTTCCCCAGTGGTCGGGGTGACTGGCTTCGAGAGGTTTCTCTGTAATGTCTCCGCGGGGGAGACGGGAGTCGGACTTCAGTCACTCGAGGAGGTGGAGTATGGGGCCTCCGATGCCTCATCGGGGGTCTTCGGTCGTCTTCAAGCGCCCTTAGTCTTTCCCCTTGGGCGAAGATGAGATAGTTTGTTTGATTGATCGCTTCGAACAACGCTTGAGTTGTGGCATCCGCCCCGGCGGGGACGGGGACTTCCTGGAACCGAGCAGCCCGGTAGTTCGCGAGAGATGCCTCGTCTCCTTCGAGTGGCGGAGGGACCGAGGAAAACGACACAGTAACTCCGTCGCGGTAAGTTGAAGGTCCGGGGGCAGTTGACGCAGGGATGGTGTTGTGACCAGGGTTGCCGACGTTGTCGAGGTGTCCGTTTTTGTCCGCGGGGCTGTTATTGGTGTCAACGACGCAGACGTTTTGATCATCGCGAGCTTGGTCAGCCATGACAGTGGTAGTTGAGTTTGAGCTTTGGTCTTTGAGTTTTGCAAGACGGGGAAGCTATTTCCCCACAGTCGGCGCCACTGATCTAACCTGATCAGACTTGGACCGTCACGGCTGGCTCCGAGCTAAAGTTTTGAACGAGGTGGGGGGGTACCTGCAAGGCACTCTGATGCTGAAGTAAGTAAGAGCACGAGCAGGCAAGAGTATGAGTATGGGTAAAAGAATGAATACTTGACCCTCTGGGAACATAGGGTATTTATAGCCCCCAGCGCTGGGCCAAGGTCCCCTTATTGGGCCGGGCAGGTTTGGCCCAATGAAGGAACTGCCAGGTTCTACGTGTGTAGTGGGGACCCACATGTGGTCCCCTTCCTGGATGTTCTGCGTGAAGTACGGACGGACGAGGACACGGTCTTTTCGGGATCCGCGTGGTGGTGCAGTGGACAGAGTCTGCCCTAGGAGGAGTGCTCGAGCTAAGGTCGAGCGGGATAGCATGAAGTCGAGGATATCGCACTGGCATAGAGCGTCGAGCACGGATGTGGCCTCTTGGTCGGCATGACCCCTTGCAAGGCCGTTTGGATTGGGCCTTCACCATTGCTTTTGGGCCAGCTCGGCCCAGTCCAGAACAGATCCACTTTCTTCTTATTTCTTTGAAACCTCCTCACCATATCCTCTCTAGCTTTGACTATAGATTTGTATAGAATGTCCATAGCAGGTTTATCTTCACTATCAACAATAGGCAACACACGTACAAGTGGTTCAGTGAGTTTAACTACATCAACATTTTTACTCCAAAATCCAGAATCTAAAACTTGATCCACAAACTGTTTTGCCTTTGCTTCTTTGGCATATGCTGAGTTTGTCCATTCTTTAGATGTTACCATGGCTCTTAGTGAGTTTTTGTGAGACAAAATACATTGCAAAGCAATGAAATTAGTGGCAAACCGAGTTGGAGCAGGACGAAGGATTTCTCTTCCACCTGTTTGCTTTCTCATTAAATACAATGCATAACAATGGTTATAAATATATTTGGTAACATTAGAAGCATGTGACACTGTCTCACTTACTTCCTCTATTTTTCCCATGTCTTGTAACATCAAGTTAATGCAATGTTTCGTACAAGGAGACCAAAATAAAGTAGGAAACTCATTTTCTAATAACCTTCCAGCAGCAACATAATTTGCAGTATTATCTGTCACTATGTGAACTACATTTTCAGGCCCAACAAATAAAACCACCTCTCTAAAAAGCTTATACAACATATCTGCAGTTTTTGAAGCATGAGAAGCATCAACGGATTTTAGAAAAATAGTACCTTTGGGACAATAAACTAGAAAGTTTATAAGAGTTCTTCTTTTTCGATCAGTCCATTCATCGGCCATTAGAGTACAACCAGTTTTCTTCCAAATCTCACGATACTCCTCTATCAATTTGTTCACATCTTCAACCCATTTATTTAACAAATAGTCATGAAGACTATGCATAGTTGGAACTTTATACCCCGGACTCATGCTGTAAAGTGCATCATCCATAGATTGAAAATACGCAGAATTAGCTGCATTGAATGGCACAGAAGAATCAATGAATCATCTTGCAATAGCTAGATCACACTTCTCCACCAATTCCTTACTTTGTAACATACTTTTTAAAGAAGGTTGAGCTCCAGGAGTTGTTCTAGGCATAAAATAATTACCAATACGACTAGTATTCTTTCTCTTTTGAGACACAATCACTGAATTTGATCTTGATTGTTCTACATCCATTTCTACTACACCACCCTCTTGAGTAGTAAGATCAACATCAAAATTTTGTGCTTGAGTCTTTCTTCTCTTATTTGCACCTACATCAAGATTTTGTTTCATTTGATATTGAACATCTGGAGGCACCTTTTTACATGTTTCAACTTGACCTTTTATTCCAGCCAAATGGAATTTAAACCTATTAATTCCCCCTCCTCTAATAATTTTATCACAGTAAATACACAAATTAACAAGTTTTCCTTTCTCTTCAATTTGTTTACAATGACCCCAAGCTATATAAGTTTTTCCCCTACTGCTCTGGAGTTGGGTTGGATTTTGAGATGTAACTTCTTCCGAAGTTATTACTTCAGCAGGTGATGTCATATATAATATAAATCAAAATTTAAAAATACAAAATTATATTACAAAAATATTAACAAAACACAATTAATTATAAACAAAAATTATTGAATTTATAAAAACATTATAAGAAACATTAAATATGTAGCATATCTAAATCCAAAATATATGAATATGTTACTGTATATTACATATAGGCTACCAAGCATCGTTACTGTGCATCACCATATATAATTAAAAAATAAAAACTTTGTTTTTCAGCCTTTGCTATATATTTTAGATTAATAAAATCCTGAAACTTTTCTTTGTTATATAATTTAAATTAATAAAAAACAGGAAACTTTGTCTTACTATATAATTTAGATTACATAGTTTTAAACCCAATTTTTATCTCCATAATATATACAACGACTATTACAGTAATATATATCTATCTCAATTTCTATCTCCAATATACAACAACTTCATTACCAGTCTATAATAAGTTAATTCATAAAAGTATAAAACTGCTTCATTCATACAAATTTTATCTCAATTTGTTAAACTAAAAGACCCAATTTTATAGAAAATGATCAAATTTAATCATTTATTTTCTATATCAATTAATCAACAAAATGAAACAATAATATTCATATTGAAAAACATCAATGCAAATTAGATCAAGTAAAAAAGAAATAACCTGTTTTTGATGTTTTGATGAAATTTTTTACGGCAAACAAGAAATATCAAATAACAGCAGCAAGTGGGAGTTTTTGTTGGTAGAGAAAATTGAGAATATGACTTCAATTAGAAAAAGAAAAGACAGAATAAAAAAGAAAACATTTCAAATGTCTAGGTTTGGGAAACGAGGAGGCAAAGCGTTTATGTTAATTTTTTTTTCAAAAGTCCTAAAAAATAAAATAAATAGTCAAACCCGCCGGTTCAGTAAAAACCGTCGGTTCACTGGTTTAACTGGTGATCCGGCCGGTTCACATTGGTTTCATTCAGTCTAAATGTAATTCCGGTTTTATCCCTTAATCGAACTGCCTGATCCACCGGTTCTCGATCAGACCGGTCCGACCAGCCGGGTCGGGTTGGATTTTAAAACAATGCTTCTATTACTTGTTCTAGCATATAGTATTAGTTTTGTGTCTCAATTTAAAAAAAAAACTATGAAACGGTGTAGTTTTGTGTCTCAGTTTTTCTTAAATTTTTAAAAACCAAATTTTTAAAAAGTTATCCAGATCGGTCTGTTTTTCCGCAAATTTTACGGTTTCTTATACGTTTTTGGTACTACGCAGTTTTTAGTGCTTGTTAGATCGGGAATCGGCTGGTCCAAACAAGTTTTCACTACAATGATTAAATGTCTTTTTATAAATTAAAATTAAAATTAAAATGTAACAGCATATAGTTGATATGTAGGTATAGCTTATATGATAAAAGCGGATTCAAAACTGTAATTTCTAATTTATCTGCACTCTATGTGCGAAAGATCCACTGCTAATTAGAATAGAATAATTAATACTGGATTAAAAAGATAAAAATAACCCTTAGTGACTCATTTAGTCCATTCATTCCTTTTGTTAGAATGCAGATTTGTTTTTATCAGACTATAAATACTTACAAAAACATGTCAATGAAGTTCCGTTGTCCAGTCAAACTCTTTCCACTCTTTGGAAAAGTTTGCCACTGCTTGCTTCTGTACGTCCAATGCTGCATACCTTTGTCGTCTGTACATATCTTCCTCAGGTAAATGCAGCATGCCCCTGAGAACATTCAATCCGAGGTTACTTTTGAAGTCCTTTTCGTCGTCAATGACATGAACAAATCCCTTGTTTAAGCCAAATTCAACATGAAAATATGGGAAATCCTTGGGGATTGAGTTTCGCAGACCCTTTTGACTGGTATCAATGAGTTTTTTAGCATTATGCTGGCTCCACTCATCTTCTGCTTCATCAATTGCCTGTGATTTAAGTCATTTTACAGACGGTGAGTTTATGATTTGAAGCAATAGAAACAAAAACAGAAATGGAATAGTGAATAGAAAGAAATGTGCATTCAAGTCAACGACAAAGCATTACGAAGGATCTTTCACTAATAGCACTGTAATAATAATAATCTCAAGAACAACAAAGCATTACAAAGAAAAAGTGCAGTCAACAACAAAGCATTACAAAGGATCTTTCACTAATTGCACTGCAATAATAATAATAATCTCAAAAACAAAGCATTGCAAAGGATTTTTCACTAATAGCACTGTAATAATAATAATCTCAGCACTGTAATAATAATAATAATCTCAGGTGAAAACTAGGTAAATGAGTGATAGCAGAAACATCCGTTTAACAAACCTGTACCATTTCTACAGGTTTGCATTCGACTAAGTTTTAACCACATGTGGCACACTCATCAGAAGAACATGTACAAAAGGGTTGTGCAAACAAGGTTATAAACTGAACAGAACTACACCCAAAAATAAAATAAAGCAAGTTTAGCTGATCTAGAAACTAATCCAGTTTTATAAATGGTGTGGTTAATTGTTTTCCATATGGGCTGGGAGTTGGGATGGACGTGTCTGGTTTTAGGTTCAACTATCCATATCTTAACACGACAGGTGTCATTTTTGGCTCAGAAAAATCTCCCATTAGACCACCATATGCAATGAGTGGTGTGAAGTACACCATGGAAACAAAAATGAAGTGGGTACGCTCCACCTTTTCACTATCAAATTTGTGGCCCATATTCTTATTTGCAGTTTGCACTATATATTTGAACTTTCATCCATGAAGGACATCCTATGAAACTAAGTAGATAACTTTAATCGTACTAGAATCGCTTTAACAAGCTACTCCCAAAAAGTTGGTAATTATATTGTGTCAAAGGAAAGCTAATAATACTTTCATGTTGGCTTTTAGAACACAATGTGGAATACAATTATGTGCAGCCTATTAATAGTTCATTTCAAGGATATGCATAAATGAAAAGCATGAATTCTGGAGAGAGACAAATATGGGCAATGCAGAACTAGAAAATATTACAAAGTTTAATATCTGACCTTCTTAAAGTATAAAGGAGCGTCTTTAGCAATATCTTTGGGTAAAGGAATGCACTCAATCATACAATGGCGCCGTTGCTGTGCCAATCCCATCACAGTTTCAAGAAACACTACTTTCTTATCTTGCTTTGCAAACATCATAATAAGGCATTTCTTGAAGTTTCGGATTTCTACCCACACATCATCATCCACAGTTCTTGTAGCTGATTCATGCTGCATATTGATGATAAGAAAAAGTTGAAAATTATGAGTCTATAAAATAAAAATAATGAAAGGGACATAAAAAACAAACTAAAACATCAGTTCACCAACTTTAAATTCATATAACCTTTATAAAACTTATAGTAGAAGAAATTAAACTCACGTGAATGGGTAGAATACAACAATGACCATGCACCAATGGCTGCAACTGTGGCAACATAAGATATGTGAAATTTGCAATGGACACAACAAGATGCATAGGCCGTTTCGGATTCTCTAGACAAAAGAGGCATCGTTCTTTCTGGGTCAAGAATCGATTTGCATTCATCTTATTTTGGATATTCTTGGGGTCTTCGCCTCCTTGCTTCTTTCTACTCTTTCTGCTTGGACCATCTTCAAAATCATATTCATCATCTGCTTGAGTGTGAACCTTAAACTGTTTGTTCTGCATTATATTGCGAGCAAGATTCATATCGGCATCATCCTCGCCTTTCTTCTGTTCAGAAGATATCCTCTGCATAGCATACCTAAAATAAAGTGAAATTATAAGTATAAGGTAGTAGAAACAAATACTACCAATCCAAGACATCAAAACATGTTTCTGAACTTATAAAGAAATATTTAAAAAAAAAAAAATCAAAGACAATATAAGTCAAACTATGTTTTGATGCAATACAAGAAATTCATCTTAGCCACAATGTTTTCAAATCTAGAATTCATGAAAATATGTGTGGGATTAAGGACTTAAACAAACATATACAGAGTTCGAGATAGAAAAATACCTTCTAGAACTTCCCTCAGCTCTTGATCTAACTGCATGATCTTCATTTGCCTTCTTTGAGTTCAAAACCTTCGCTTCTTCCTGCCCACCAAAGCAATAATGGAAAGTGAACAACTTAATCAAAATAATCATGAAAGTTGTTCTTGTAGACAAGATATAAGAGGAAAACAAAGTCTAGAAAATAATGCACACTCTCCCGTTTTATGGTCTTACCATTAGTTTGTCAGCTTCGTCATTCTTTCCTTTCAAAGAAGTTGCATAGCCTTGGCTGCCAACTGGTTTGCACTCATCTTATTCTGTACTGCTACTGCATTTCCATTTCCTTCATTGGGTGTGCTTACATCTGAGGTATCGCTCACCTTACTGACTAATTCCCGCATAAAGCTACCGTCATTAGCAAATTTATTTAAGCTAGATACTGCAGCAGCAACGATCTCAGCTCCCTCAGCTACCACAAACTGGCTTTTGCGCTTTCTCCAAGATAATGAATCTTGCACTTTAGGTGCTTTCATTTCATGGTGCCGATCCTGTTGAAGTTTCATTTGCAAAATTCAGTTAAGTACACAAAGGAATATACTTCATAAATGAGATTCATACCTAGAATAATTTATTGAAAATAGAATCCATCTAAAAAATAAATATGCTATAGTTTTCTATTTGTTCTCAAGTTACCCTTTTAGAATCTCTTTGGATATGCTTTTGAGAATCTGGTGAATTTTCTTCAGCTACCCTTCTTTGTCTACTTTTAATAGCACGTAAATGAGCCCGGGCTGGCGCAGCTGCTTCTGATGCAACAGATGCAGTCAACTCACCAAGGGAACCCCACCTTTCTCCCACAACCCGTATATATCCACATAGTGAATGTGTTAATAACCATTGAAGCGAAATTAAAGAACAAAATGGTAAATAGAAAGTACGAGAATGAATCTGCTTTTGGAGAGTAAAATAATATGAACAAGTGGAATAAGTGTCGAAACATCATCGATGTGAAAATAAATCACAATTGAAATCTCGAGCATATCCGCATATCACATAATAAAATGGCATAAGACTCAAATCTCAATAAGCAAAGGTGAATCACAAGTTTCGAATAATCGAATAATCATGAATTAATTCCTAAAAAAAAATCTCCTAAAATCTAAAAATTTATATTAATGTTTTGTTTCATCAATATTTCGTATTAACAAAAATGTCATCTAACAATTATGAAAAGAAATAGTTAAAGAAAACTAAAAAACTACACAGGGGGTGTCATCTTGAAAACAGGTGGTGTTGTAGAAGCAGGGCGCTAGGCCAATTCAATTTGTAGTCCAGCAAGCCAGTTTTTTTGTGTTCAGAACCTTGCAGGCTCCAAAAATCCACGCTGGGCCTTAGGATGAATGCAATTCAGCTCAGTTCAACAAGATCAGTCCCGTTTTTTTTTGTTCAAATCTTTCAGACTGTTTCAATAACAACAAGAAGAAAAACAACGTGAAGAAATTGAAAAAGGGAATATGTGGAATTTAGGGTTTCTGTAGTGATTCTTCAACTTTTCAGAGTACGAGTGTTTCTTCTCCTTCTCAATCCCTCCGTCATTTCAACTTTCGATTCAATCTCTGAAGAATTTTCCGCCAGACTCTAACTTCTCCACTCGCGATTTGCTCTATCTCCGATTCTCCTCTCAACAACGTAACGACTGCCTCCACATCAGCTTCTCCGATCCGTAGATCCAATCGCATCTTCAGTGTAAAACTTGTTGGATCAAACAGTTTTACACTGGACCTTTTTTAAGCCCATTAAGAGATATCGTAATAAAAGAACAAAAAAGCTGACACAAATTCAAAATTAGATTCGAAATCAAAAGCGAACCCTAACTTTCCAGAGCGAGAGAAACGCAGAAGACGAACGAACAAGAACGATGTCTGGCGCTGCACCCACTCCCAACACTGAAGAAGACAAGAAACCTAACGATATCGCTCATATCAATTTGAAGGTCAAAGGCCAGGTTCGATTTTTTCCTTTTCTTTTGTTTTGTGTCGATTATTATAGTAATAGTTATTTTGTATCTTGGATTTTTCGATCGATGTGTGTTTATTCGTTTTGGTTTTCGTTTTTTTGTACTGTATCTGTGACTGGTAGTGGTGTTTTCGTTTTTTCGTGTTGCTTTTTGATAATCTAATTTTTGTGTTGCATAATATGATATATTATTTTTGTGTTGGTTTTAGTCTACAATAGATGGTTGTTTATATCAATGTTTAGAGAGTGCAGAGTAAATAAAGTAATAGGGTTCATGGTGTTACAGAATCAGTTGATTTTTTAACGGTTAATTTATTTTAAGATGCGTGCTGATATTTCATTATGCATACCAAACATAATCAATTCTAAATGGTAGTTTTGGTGGTTGGATTGTTCTTGTTCCAATTGCGTTGTGTGGGTTTGAGGAATATGCTGAGGGGCATTATCTGAATTAGGGATTCTTTTTCTGATCTCAGAATGTATCTTGTAGAAAATATGTTTCCTATAGTCTCTGTTGTGGGTTGGGATTAACTTTGTATCATGCTAGTTTCATTTTCTGTTGACGATCTAATGGCTCGTTGACCTGTTTGTTACTGTTTCCGGTACATATAAAATCCATGTTAGCATGCTATGTGTGTCTTACTTATGTAACCCTGATATTTGGTACATATAAAATCCATGTACCGCTAGCATTCTATGTGTGTCTTACTTATGTAACCCTGATAATGTGATGTATACAAAATGTTTTTTCTCTAGATGCTACAGTATTATGATTGAGTATGCATACACTTGTTTTGTTTCCAACTCCATGTCAGATGCGAGTAAAAACCTGTCTAACGAAAAGCAAGAATTAGTTGTTCTCTCACTAAACCAAACATAGGTTATGAGAATCTGAGTCCAGGGTTTGTCCTTTTTTGTTAGTATGGTCAAATGCCATTTCTTGGTTCTTTGATGTATCCGTTCTTTTGGCTGTGCCAGTTTGTGTTCCACTGCAGTTTTTGGGGTCTGGCAGAGGTTTTCACTGGGTGTGTTTATAGAGTGGTCCAAAAATATTTGGGAAATGGTACAAGCAGTTGGATGGACAATTTATTGATGACATAGTGCAAGATTCCAACAATTAGTACTTATATCCTTCTTACTTGTAGCATTGCCTGCAACGTCGGTAGCTTCTCCTTTGATCTTGTTCTCTCTACTCCTCCCCTTTTTCTTCTTTCCTTTCCTTCTTCTTTTCTTATCATCCTGGTCACTTTCACTTTCGCTTGTATAAAATGAAGAATTCTCATCAGATGAGTACCGCTTCTTCTTTCTAGAGCCCTTTTTTATCTCATCCAGCTCATCCTCATCAGAAAAGATATTCATATTCCTAGAGCTCTTGTCCTTTTTCTTCTTTCCTTTCCTTCTCCTTTTCTTATCCTCCCGCTCACTTTCACTTGTAGAAAATGAAGAATCTTCATCGGATGAATACCACTTCTTCTTTCTAGAGCCTTTTATTTTACCAAGCTCTTCCTGTAGGAAGAGCTATTCCTAGGGCTCTCATCCTCTTTCCTCCTACTGTCTGATTTATTTCTCCCCTCATCTTGTACCTAGTGGATAGAAATCAAAGTCAGACCTAACATTAGGAGTGAATAATAAAAGTGACAATATGATAAGGTATTATTACTCTACAAACCTGGTCACGAGGAATGAATTTCACCCCAGAAAGCATTTTTTTGTAGATTGCTACGACTTATGCCTTACTAATACCTGCTTAACAATATAAAAAAAAAAACAATAGATATCATAAAGGAGTGTAATATTAAAGAAGAAAATCGCACACAGGAACAAGGAAATAATAATTATGTGAAATAAACCCTAATTCGGTGATGGAATATACAATTAGTTCATACAAACAGAATACTTTTTCAAAAACCGGTTTCATACTGGTTCGTGTAATAGAATCAGAATGCAATTGACAGCAACAAATTGAATTTGAATACAATCATAATCAAAATAACAATAACAGATAGAATACAATTAGAAAGAAACGTTACTTGAATGTTTGGATGAATGAGGCGGCGCAGGGCGATTTGGGAGAGATGCAGCTGCGAAATCTGAGAGCAAACGGAGGGAGAATGGAGCCAAATTGCAAATGAAAAGAAAAACCCTAATTTGGAATTGGCCGAAATCGCGGTTATGAAGTTAGATTTGAAGTAAACGCGCGTCGAGCTTGAAGGGGCTTTTTTTGTTTTCACAGTATAATTTTCTTAAAACTTTAGAAAGATGAATAAATATAAAGGCATTTTAAAATGGTCTCCCAAAAGCAACCCATGTTTATTTATGGTTGGTTAAAGATAAATAAATCATAGTCGAAAATTTGTTTCACTTAAATTGGCTTTAAATATTTTTATTTATATGTCATTTTAAGTACAAAATGAATAGATACGTACAACAAAATATTAAATTAACCTCTCAGAATTAAAAAAAAAAACAAAGAAACGAAAGAAGACGAAGAGATCGATGCACAAAAGTCAAAAACAGCTTAAAAATGAGTAGAAATTCAAAAGCCCCTTCCCTCTCGAGTGAAAATTGGATTAAAAATAATCTCTATAAAAAGGACAAAAAAAAAAAACCTTAATATAACATAATTTTCAACTAAAAAAAAATCCACAGAGAAAGAAAATGACGCAGTTTCATTGCGACTCCAATGGCGTTTGCATGGTATGCAAACGCCAGCCTCTAGAAACAGAAACTCTCCACTGTATAACATGCGTAACTCCATGGCATTTTACATGTTTACCCCTCGCTCCCAATGTGTGATATGCGGATATGCTCGAGATTTCAATTGTGATTTATTTTCACATCGATGATGTTTCGACACTTATTCCACTTGTTCATATTATTTTACTCTCCAAAAGCAGATTCATTCCCGTACTTTCTATTTACCATTTTGTTCTTTAATTTCGCTTCAATGGTTATTAGCACATTCACTATGTGGATATATACGGGTTGTGGGAGAAAGGTGGGGTTCCCTTGGTGAGTTGACTGCATCTGTTGCATCAGAAGCAGCTGCGCCAGCCCGGGCTCATTTACGTGCTATTAAAAGTAGACAAAGAAGGGTAGCTGAAGAAAATTCACCAGATTCTGAAAAGCATATCCAAAGAGATTCTAAAAGGGTAACTTTGAGAACAAATAGAAAACTATAGCATATTTATTTTTTAGATGGATTCTATTTTCAATAAATTATTCTAGGTATGAATCTCATTTATGAAGCATATTCCTTTGTGTACTTAACTGAATTTTGCAAATGAAACTTCAACAGGATCGGCACCATGAAATGAGAGCACCTAAAGTGCAAGATTCATTATCTTGGAGAAAGCGCAAAAGCCAGTTTGTGGTAGCTGAGGGTGCTGAGATCGTTGCTGCTGCAGCATCTAGCTTAAATAAATTTGCTAATGACGGAAGCTTTATGCGGGAATTAGTCAGTAAGGTGAGCGATACCTCAGATGTAAGCACACCCAATGAAGGAAATGGAAATGCAGTAGCAGTACAGAATAAGATGAGTGCAAACCAGTTGGCAGCCAAGGCTATGCAACTTCGTTTGAAAGGAAAGAATGACGAAGCTGACAAACTAATGGTAAAACCATAAAACGGGAGAGTGTGCATTATTTTCTAGACTTTGTTTTCCTCTTATATCTTGTCTACAAGAACAACTTTCATGATTATTTTGATTAAGTTGTTCACTTTCCATTATTGCTTTGGTGGACAGGAAGATGCGAAGGTTTTGAACTCAAAGAAGGCAAATGAAGATCATGCAGTTAGATCAAGAGCTGAGGGAAGTTCTAGAAGGTATTTTTCTATCTCGAACTCTGTATATGTTTGTTTAAGTCCTTAATCCCACACATATTTTCATGAATTCTAGATGTGAAAACATTGTGGCTAAGATGAATTTCTTGTATTGCATCATAACATAGTTTGACTTATATTGTCTTTGATTTTTTTTAAAATATTTTTTTATAAGTTCGGAAACATGTTTTGATGTCTTGGATTGATAGTATTTGTTTCTACTACCTTATACTTATAATTTCACTTTATTCTAGGTATGCTATGCAGAGGATATCTTCTGAACAGAAGAAAGGCGAGGATGATGCCGATATGAATCTTGCTCGCAATATAATGCAGAACAAACAGTTTAAGGTTCACACTCAAGCAGATGATGAATATGATTTTGAAGATGGTCCAAGCAGAAAGAGTAGAAAGAAGCAAGGAGTCGAAGACCCCAAGAATATCCAAAATAAGATGAATGCAAATCGATTCTTGACCCAGAAAGAACGATGCCTCTTTTGTCTAGAGAATCCGAAACGGCCTATGCATCTTGTTGTGTCCATTGCAAATTTCACATATCTTATGTTGCCACAGTTGCAGCCATTGGTGCATGGTCATTGTTGTATTCTACCCATTCACGTGAGTTTAATTTCTTCTACTATAAGTTTTATAAAGGTTATATGAATTTAAAGTTGGTGAACTGATGTTTTAGTTTGTTTTTTATGTCCCTTTCATTATTTTTATTTTATAGACTTATAATTTGCAACTTTTTCTTATCATCAATTTGCAGCATGAATCAGCTACAAGAACTGTGGATGATGATGTGTGGGTAGAAATCCGAAACTTCAAGAAATGCCTTATTATGATGTTTGCAAAGCAAGATAAGGAAGTAGTGTTTCTTGAAACTGTGATGGGATTGGCACAGCAACGGTGCCATTGTATGATTGAGTGCATTCCTTTACCCAAAGATATTGCTAAAGACGCTCCTTTATACTTTAAGAAGGTCAGATATTAAACTTTGTAATTTTTTCTAGTTCTTCATTGCCCATATTTGTCTCTCTCCAGAATTCATGCTTTTCATTTATGCATATCCTCGAAATGAACTATTAATAGGCTGCACATAATTGTATTCCACACTGTGTTCTAAAAGCCAACATGAAAGTATTTATTGAATTAGGAGAGACTAAGAGACATTTAGGTTAAACCGTGTTTTATGAAAGCACTACGGAGACTTTATTATATATAGAGAGATTACAACTAATTACACTATATAATCGATGCGGGACTATTCTACATATAAATATTCTTAACATTATATATTTACAAATATCAACAGTATTATTAGCTTTCCTTTGACACAATATAATTACCAACTTTTGGGGAGTAGCTTGTTAAAGCGATTCTAGTACGATTAAAGTTATCTACTCAGTTTCATAGGATGTCCTTCATGGATGAAAGTTCAAATATATAGTGTAAACTGCAAATAAGAATATGGGCCACAAATTTGATAGTGAAAAGGTGGAGCGTACCCACTTCATTTTTGTTTCCATGGTGTACTTCACACTCATTGCATATGGTGGTCTAATGGGAGATTTTTCTGAGCCAAAAATGTCCCCTGTCGTGTTTAGATATGGATAGTTGAACCTAAAACCAGACACATCCATCCCAACCCCCAGCCCATATGGAAAACAATTAACCACACCATTTATAAAACTGGATTAGTTTCTAGATCAGCTAAACTTGCTTTATTTTATTTTTGGGTGTAGTTCTGTTCAGTTTATAACCTTGTTTGCACAACCCTTTTGTACACGTTCTTCTGATGAGTGTGCCACATGTGGTTAAAACTTAGTCGAATGCAAACCTGTAGAAATGGTACAGTTTTGTTAAACGGATGTTTCTGCTATCACTCATTTACCTAGTTTTCACCTGAGATTATTATTATTATTACAGTGCTGAGATTATTATTATTATTATTACAGTGCTATTAGTGAAAAATCCTTTGCAATGCTTTGTTTTTGAGATTATTATTATTGCAGTGCAATTAGTGAAAGATCCTTTGTAATGCTTTGTTGTTGACTGCACTTTTTCTTTGTAATGCTTTGTTGTTCTTGAGATTATTATTATTATTACAGTGCTATTAGTGAAAGATCCTTTGTAATGCTTTGTTGTTGACTTGAATGCACATTTCTTTCTATTCATTATTCCATTTCTGTTTTTGTTTCTATTGCTTCAAATCATAAACTCACCGTCTGTAAAATGACTTAAATCACAGGCAATTGATGAAGCAGAAGACGAGTGGAGCCAGCATAATGCTAAAAAACTCATTGATACCAGTCAAAAGGGTCTGCGAAACTCAATCCCCAAGGATTTCCCATATTTTCATGTTGAATTTGGCTTAAACAAGGGATTTGTTCATGTCATTGATGACGAAAAGGACTTCAAAAGTAACCTCGGATTGAATGTTCTCAGAGGCATGCTGCATTTACCTGAGGAAGATATGTACAGGCGACAAAGGTATGCAGCATTGGACGTACAGAAGCAAGCAGTGGCAAACTTTTCCAAAGAGTGGAAAGAGTTTGACTGGACAACGGAACTTCATTGACATATTTTTGTAAGTATTTATAGTCTGATAAAACAAATCTGCATTGTAACAAAAGGAATGAATGGAGTAAAATATTAAATGAGTCACTAAGGGTTATTTTTATCTTTTTAATCCAGTATTAATTATTCTATTCTAATTAGCAGTGGATCTTTCGCACATAGAGTGCAGATAAATTAGAAATTACAGTTTTGAATACGCTTTTATCATATAAGCTGTACCATTTTAATTTTAATTTTAATTTTAATTTATAAAAAGACATTTAATCATTGTAGTGAGAACTTGTTTGGACCAGCCGATTCCCGATCTAACAAGCACTAAAAACTGCGTAGTACCAAAAACGTTTAAGAAACCGTAAAATTGGCGGAAAAACAGACCGATCTGGATAACTTTTTAAAAATTTGTTTTTTAAAAAATTAAGAAAAACTGAGACACAAAACTACACCGTTTCATAGTTTTTTTAAATTGAGACACAACTAATACTATATGCTAGAACAAGTAATAGAAGAAGTAAATTACATGTATTGAAATTGAAAAAAAATTGATAGAAAACATAAGTACTCCATTGTTTGAAATTATATGTATTGTATTTTTTTATTATTAACTAAGTATTAAAATAGGAAGTAACAAGTAAGAGCACTTCCAATTCTAAAATGTCCACCAATAGTAGTGCGACACAGTTGGAATCGTGAAAAAACTAATTGAGTTTGAGAGCATTTTAAAATAAAATACAAAAAATAAAAAATAAAATTGTTTACAAGCAAATTCATTGTTTGTTAGAATTTAGAGGAGGTATATTTAGAATTAAACATCATTTTACAGGAATTAAAATATATTAGTTCCTTAAAAAGTCCTTTTGATGTTTGTTATTAAATGATTTCGGTATTAAAAAGTATTGAATAGAAAAAGAACACCACGAGTCTCAATGATTGTCAGCCTAATGAAGAAGAAGTAGATATTTCAATTCAATCTTGCCAAATAATTTCTAATAAAGGAAAAAGAAAAGTCACTTTTGGAAGTGCTAGTTTTTTTCTCCAAGAATAACATCGGGCTCGTTCTCAATCAACTCTAAAAAGTGTAATGTCTTGTAAAGATCCAACACATAAAGCTAAGATGATTGAGGTTCATCTCCCGTCTTCCCTGCGGAGACATTACCGAGATACCTCTCGAAGCCCGTCGCCCCGCCCATCGGGGAGACGACCCCCTTTGGAGAGGCAACCCATCATCGAAGCCGGAGGACGCGGCCGCGACCCTGCGAGACAGGAAAGAAGACACTCCGGAGACGGGCGTGGAAGAAGCAACCAACGAGCACCACGCTCGAGAGATGCCCAACACGACCAGGACCGTCGTGCCCGACAGTATTATAGGTCCCCATCTCTGTCCCCGGAGCGGAGCGACGAGGACGACCCCCGAGGACGAGGACGACACTATTTTCTGGCCCACATAGTCATCGTGCGAACCGACCAACCAGTGAGGTAACTCCTGGGTCGGCCCGACATGGCGGGCATAATGTTGAAATGGTCCTTGGAGCTCTCCGAATTCGACATTCAATACGAAAGCAGGAAAGCCCTGAGAGCACAAGTCCTGGCCGAATTTGTCGCAGAAATGACTGCTCATGACCCACCCGCGGGGAAGGAACACAAATGGACCATCTTCGTCGACGGGGCATCCAGCTCGTCCGGAAGTGGCGCAGGAATCCTCCTAGAGAACGAGGAAGGCGTAGTGATCGAACACTCCTTAGCTCTCTCTTTCCCGACGTCGAACAACCAAGCAGAGTACGAGGCCCTGCTCGCAGGACTGAGGCTAGCCGAGGACCTGGGAGCCCGCGAATACAAATCTACACAGACTCCCAACTCGTTGCCTCCCAAGTCCAGTGGAGTTACCAAGCCAAGAACGACAACCTCGTCGAATACTTAAACTTAGTCAAAAAATACATGACAAAGTTTGAACGAGCAGAGATTTCACACGTCCCCCGCGAGCAAAACACAAGGGCGGACATATTGTCCAAACTCGCGAGCACGAGAAAGAAGGGCGGAAACAAATCCGTCATACAAGAATCCCTAGCACACCCGAGCATCGAAAGATCCTCGACACTAGTCGAGGTCCACGCCATAGGAGACGCCTCGTCCTGGATGACCCCGGTTTACAATTTCCTGACGAAAGGCGAGCTCCCCTCGAACCAGACAGATGCGACCATCACAAAGCGACGAGCATGCTCTTACGTGGTGCTCGAGCACAAACTATACCGCATGGGATTCTCCATCCCCCTCCTAAAGTGCATCGATGAATCCACAGTCCCCGAGGTACTGCGGGAGATACACGAAGGGATTAACGCCCAACACATGGGCGGTAAGTCTTTGGCGAGGAAAGCCCTTTGAGCGGGGTATTATTGGCCGATAATGCAGCAAGACGCCAAGGAACACATCAAGAGGTGTGACAAGTGCCAGAGGCACGGTGACATGCACCTCGCCCCCCCTCACGAACTAAGCATACTGTCGTCCCCGTGGCCGTTCGCGTGGTGGGGTATGGACATCCTCGGTCCCTTCGTACAAGGGACTTACCAAAATAAATTCCTCATCGTGGCTGTGGATTACTTCAGGAAATGGATAGAAGCCGAGGCTCTCGCGAAAATCACCTCGCACAACATCCTTCGTTTCTACAAGAGAAACATCCTCGCCAGATTTAGAATTCCGAGGGCACTGGTGACCGACAACGGCACCCAATTCAATAACCACGGGTTCCAAGACTTCGTCATCAAACTAGGAACAAAACAACACTTCACTTCGGTCGAGCACCCTCAAACCAACGGGCAAGCCGAATCCGCGAACAGAGTCATCCTCTGGGGACTCAAACGCCGACTCGGCGAAGCAAATAGGGGATGGGTCGAGTAGTTGCACAGCGTCTTGTGGGCATACCGCACCACGCCCCACTCAACGACGGGCGAGACCCCCTTCCGACTAACATACGGCACCGAGGCCGTCATCCTGGTAGAAATCAGGGAACCCTCCAGAAGGACAGAGAATCCCCTCGACGAGGAAATGAACGACGAGGCACTCAGGGACGAACTCGACTTAGTCGAGGAAATCTGATCAGGGGCGGCTCTACGCGAAGCCACCTTAAAACAATGAGTGGCTCTGCGCCACAACGACAAGGTCATTAAACGTGAGTTCGAAATCGGCAGTCTGGTTCTACGAAGGAACCAAAAAGACTCCCGAGAAGGGAAATTGGCCGCGAACTGGGAAGGACCTTATCGCGTCTACGGCACCACTGGTACCGGGGCGTATTACCTCGAGCAACTAGACGGAGAACCACTACCACGACCCTGGAACGCTGTTAAACTGAAGCAGTACTATAGTTAAAAACCCGTAACACCGAGGACTCTCGCCGTTGACACCCATGTCCGGTCAACGAGGAAAAATGTCCGACCCCGTAGAAAGGCCAAGGTACAGGCCCAACCTACGCCCAAACGGCATAACAACGTTCAACAGACGAGCATGAACGATAGTGCCTGATGTGGACACCTCAATCGAACTCCACCATCGAAGTACCTGTAGGGCAGAACACCCAGCTCGCGATGGGCAGTTCACGCCACGGGTGAGCAACCCCGATCCGGGTCATACGCCCGAATAAGCGGCCTTCGCCCAGCACGCCCGACGAATCTCGAAGAACGTCGGACCATCCAAAGGGTCGAAAAAGAATCTCTCCTCGAGGTCGTAACTTAGGTGAATCTCTCCACCGAATAGAAGCCGAGCACAAGCGTGACCCAAACAAAAGACTTAGGCAAATTTGCCAACAAAGTCACAACCACACGCGGGCAAGACTCGGGGCCATAACTTAGGCAAAGTCTATCATAAAATATTGAAACATAAACACGGGAAAAAAACCAAAGTCAAAACAGGCATTCATTCAAAAATGCTCGTGAGCAACAAAACAAATAGAAATAAACCGACCAAGAAGGCCAGCGATGTTCGGAAAGTACAAGAGCGGGCACGCAGGCCCAAAAAGTAAAACATGCACGGGCACGCAGGCCCCAAAAACAAACATCAATCAAAAAAGGCACGCAGGCCCGACTAAGATCTCACAGCTAGGCTTCCCCGGAGCTATCACCGCCGACAACGGGAGACCCGGGCGGAGGCACGACCTGGCCGTCGATGATCTGAGACATGTAGCCCACTCCTTTAATATTCAGATCGGGATTCAACAGAGAGAGCTGGCTGACCGCGGCTTCAAAGCCATCCGCCAAAGCACCGACACAGTCCACCTCGAGGAGTTGAATACGAGCGACCAGTTCCGATCGACTCCGCAAAGGAGCTGTCTCCCCCGACTCATCTTCGGCAGGGAGCATGTCGGCCTTTAGTTCCTCGACCTCTTTGGCGAGGCGCCCGTTGTCAATTTCCAAGCGTTCCCGGTCCTCACGGAAGTACTCCCTCTCCTCGGCAATCTTCCCCGAGTTCTCTTTCTCCACAGCCAGCAGCTCGGCTTGCTCGCGGAACATTTCCTCAGAACGCTCCAGGGCAGCCTTCAACTTTCGTGAGCTCGCAGTAAGGGCAGCTTTCTCCTGCTCCAGCTCCTTGATGCGATCAGAATCTGCCCCCTCCTCAGCCAGGACAACGGCCATCTCGGCCATTTTGACCATCCCGACCATGTTGGCGGCCAGATGCCTTCTCCGATTTTCTTTACTTAGCCGCCTAATGGTATCAGCTTCGTCAGTGCTTATGGACAAGGGAAACCGCTCGAAGAAATCCTCCTCTTTAAAACAGGGGGGCAACCTGAAGGACCTCACCGCACCAGACTCCTCGCCGACCTCCGGTGGGCTCTCCACCTGGTTCCTCTTCCTCGGTATCAGGTCGGTATGTGGCTCGACATCCTGAGCGTCCGGGGACCCTCTAGAAGTATAGCCCGGGCTAGTTGGCGGGCCCATCCTCGTCGCCTGAGGAGCTCGCACCACTCTCTTGTTGACTTTCTTATCCAGCGTCAGCTTTAGGAGCCTCTCCTTTCGTCCA